CCCCTTGGTGACCCAAATAAGGCACATAAATTTTCTGTATTTTTATCCTATAAATATAAGATTAGGAATCTATCATCTCAAAAATAAGAAACTTCCTATAGATGTTACATATATATTTAAAGACCAAGAGATATATCCATCTAAAAGTCCTAGTCTTTCTGGATTTTTATTTCTTTTAGAAAACTTATCAATATCAATCTCAATCCCACATAATATAAAAATATATCAATCCCACATAGTATGGTGATTTTGGATAGCACCAAATCTAACAGTATTCTCATACCCCTTGAACAAGGACAACTTTCAACCTTCTCAGTTTGTTGTCTTTCAATCTTATTCCTCAGGATCCAAGGTTTTTTGGCTCTATAAACACCAATACTGGATCCCAATTCGAATAGATCTAGCGAGTCATGTGTTCATGTTCACTCCCATTGTGAGTAAGAACTATAAGAAAATAATGGTGTCAAGGCCCTGCAAGGCCACAACCCCAGTAGGGTCGCCTTCCAAAAATCCATCTTAGAGTTGATTTAAGGTCTTTTTCATTTGGGTGAATGTTGATAATTTCGATCACCATGATTATGTATCTGAAATAAAATAAATTTTAAACTTTAAAAATAAACTATTGTAAGGGTATAATTTATATAAGACATCAACTTCAAACAATCAAAGTTGACGTCCATACCTTGTAAGAAGATGTATTTACTGTCCCAAAACTCCTACGATGGCCTAAAGATCTCTATTCACCCAAAATTTTGGAATTCAAAGCTAAACAAAGGGTGTCAAACTAGTAGATTTACAAATACTTGAAAATCTTGAAAATAGACCGACCAAATAATGTATTACAATATACACTATTTAAAGATTTGGAAAATCCTTGTTTTTCATATTCATACATCTTGATGTCCAAGTGATCAATTGAAGGGCTTTTCCAAAGCAAAATAAGCTTTTTTGAAGGGTTTTTTGAGGAGCACCTTATTTTTATGGTACAAGGTTGATGTCATAAATAAACTCTATCCTTATTCTAAATTTTGCTTTTAGACTATTTGTTTTAACTATTTTAAATAATCTATTATTAACGTTTAACTTAATTTTTTTTCAAATTTATGATTATAATGGTCGAGGTTATCAACGAGTGAATTTTTAGACCCAAATCCATCGCTAAGATGATGGATTTTTGCAAGGGGAATGTATTCAAACTTTTCCTTATTATAATATATACAGGAAAAAGGGTGACATAGGGTCGTGACTTTTAATAGTCGTGGCTCAAATCTCACTGTGAATTATTTGTAAAATGCATAAAATTGATCATCTTAACGTCAACATTTATGAATATGGAAAAAATAAGAGATATTTCAATTCCTAGAAATAATATTTGTTAAGACCGCCATTTTCAAGGGTACATATATTCACCAGATTTGCACTTTTTTATTTTTTGGGTAAATCGGTGACGGAGAAGGCCCTCTACCCTTTTTCACTAATAAAAGATAAAAAAAATTATATTGTACTATCTTACGGCCTTACAATAGATAATTGCACTACATAATGAAGTAAATGAAGGTTAAGACAATCTGGAAGACTAGAGCATCAAATGGTGGCCTTCACAAAAACTGTAGCATTTTTGGCAGAACATCAGCCACCATATTAGCCTTACGGTAAACATGGCAAATGGACTATAAATGATTTCCAAGTCTAGACTTGCAGTTAGTAGGTATGATATGAAGAGTCCATAGAACTTTACACCTGCTCTGTATGACCTAGACAAGTAAGAAAGAATTACTCTCAATTTGTAGGGGGAAGATTTCCATTTGAGTGGCTAAATCAAGACCCTCTTGTAAACCTCAAAATTTTGCATAATTATTAGAAGTAATTCCAAGAGAAATTGAGAAAGCAGCAACGAAAGATCCATCTTTCCGTCTCAAGATGCCCCCACAACTAGCTCGACCTAGATTTTGAATAGAAGACTCAACAATATTTAGCTTAAAATGTTGTGAATGTGGAAAAGCCCATGCAACTGTTATGTGTAACTTGATCATTTGATGTTGCTACGTAAGTCATAAATTCTCAATAATTGCCTTTCTTGAGATGTGGTAAGTCCATGCCTTAGCATTTGCCAAATCACGAACATTGTAGGTGATCCTTCAAATCAACTTCTCACGATTGAGTGTCATTCCTTGAAACATATGGTGGTTCCGCTCCTTCCAAATTATCCATATAATTGTGAAGAAGAGAGATGCCAACTGTTGATAATACTATCAGACTTGAACTTGAATGCTAACCATTTGTGTAGCTGCAATAGAACAATCTGTAATAAAGCGTTTTCCACATAGCCATGTTATTGATATCCAAATCCCTTACAAGAAAACACATTCAAGCAAAACATGACAAATATTGTCAACATTAAGATGATATAAAGGGCACACAGAAGCAATGGTGATTCCCCTTTGCTGCATGAGAGAAGAGGTAGGAAGACGATGATGAAGGCTCAACCACGATAACCATTTAGCCATTGGATGATGCTTAGAATACCATAGTGCTCTGAAGACCGATTGAGAAAAGCCCTTACGAATTTTTAATAGAAAACATTCAATTTGCAGAGTGAATCCAATTTACAAGATAAGGATGGGGTTTCGGAGGAATTGAAAGAACGTCCACTTCCAAATTCTGATCTATTGATTCCAGGTTCTAAGTGCTAGACGTGGTGCAGGGGTAGTGAAATATCAAGATTATGGAGAACCATATATGTAGTCTACGACCGAGGCTTGGTAAAACTTCCCAGATCCTTTCGAATACGATAACCATAAGATTCAAAAATAGATTTTTCTGATAACCATGGATCTGTTAAAAAATTAATTATCTTGCCATCCCCAAAAATCCATCGAACATTGTTACGAAATAGAGACAACCCCGTTTGAATGCCCTTCCATGCATAGGAATAGGACTTCCTGTGAACTTCTCAGATTGAACTATTTCTGAAGTACTTGTGTCTAAAGAAACGAGCTATAAGAGAAGACGGGTTAGCCAGAATTCTCCATGCCAACTTCATCATGCATGAATTATTGAACTCAATAATATTACTAATTCCAAGTCCCCCCTCTTCTATTGACAAACATGCATTTTTTCATTGTACCAGGTGAATCCCCTTCTTATGAATTGTACCAACCCATATAAAATTTCTCCGAAGCCGCTCTAAAATACTGCATGTGCATTTTGGGATAAAGTCTGATGAACTTAGTATTGATCTCAACAATTGTAATCGACCTGTATGAGAGAGGGATAAAGTCCGTCATGTTCTTATCTTGCTCATGAATTTCCTCACGAGATTCTGACAATTATGGTGTTTTAGGTTACCATTAAACATAGGCATTCCCGAGTATCTTGCCGGAAGAGAATCCTCACCAAATCCTCATCAGATCTGCACTAGTTATAGAGCTTCAAATTTCATAATCATGTGCGAAAATAAAACGTCATGTTACCATAGAAATTTTCGATGCTAGAACTGTGTTCCATCATGTTGACTTGTGATGTCCCTATATAAATACATGGGCCAGCCCAAAAATGCCCCAAGTTTTAATTCAAAAATTGAGATGTACAAAGAAAATATGATAACAGCATAAAGTATAAAGAAAAACCATACGCTTTATCAATGAGTGATTCTTCAAAAGATATAGTTTCTATAAGGCCTAGGCTTCAAGGGAAAAAGTAAAGTCTCTATGATGGCTCTAAAATCAATATTCATTTTCAACTATGAAACTAGGCTTTAAAATCAATTTTCATTTTCAACTATGAAATTTGAAGCTAAAAAAATGGTAAAAATCTTATGGATATGTAAATACTTTAAAATAAATAGTCTAAATAATATGTTGCAATATACATTATTTTTAGGGGGTTGAAATTTTGAACTTTTTTAACAACCATAATTTTAGAGTTGAGGTGATCCATTTGAAGATTTTCTTAAGCTTAACGATAAGTTTTTAGATGCCCTGGGGCCTAAGCTTTTTACATCCTCTTTTTTTTTGGGAAGTAAGAATAACAAAAGGAAAAGTATAAAGTGAGACAATTTATCTTCGATACATGGAAGTCACAATCATCCTTGTATGTGAGATTTAGAACTTGGTAGTTGTAAGAGTACTGTTAACTAGACTAAGTTTAAAAAATATTTTATTGAATTTCTTGATGCACTCCGATATGACATGTAATGGCTAGGAATAGTTGGGACCTCATTATTTACTTTTTCTATAGGTCACAGTTAGCATGCGTGTCATCCTGCAAATTGTAGAAATACGGGGATTGACAATAAATATATTTTTTAAATATAATTTGATCTTAATTTTTAGAGTGTATATAATATTTAACATGAAGATCATCAATATAAAAAAAATTGAAAACTAGAAATAATAATTATATTAAAAAAATGCTTTATACTTCTAGACCTCATATTATAGAAATACAGTCCAAACTACATGAAACAATTGTTCTTTTCTATAAAGGTACTTTTCCTATAAAGTAAATCCAATAAATGAAGGTGCATATTGTATAAAGTGGAGGCTCTATACAATCAAAGTAAGATGCACCTAAATAGTGTTGAGAAATGTGGTTTTAATACTGAAAATCTTTGTGATTGCCGTAAAATATAGTTTCATATCTAGTTATAAAATTTAAAGTTCAAAAAATAGTGTATATTGAATATATCTATGAAAATTTTAAAAATTGTCGGTAAAAAAATATATTACAAGATGTACTATTTTCAAAATTTAAAATTCATTTGTGTTTCATGTCCATACATATTGAGGTCGACAATATCAATTTGAAGATTTTTTTTGGCATCGAAACACTTTTATTTAGTTAAATTTTTTAGGTTACAAACTTTTTTTAATTAAAAAAATAATTTTTTAAATTTTTTATGCACCCCTTTGTCTTCCCAATTCGACATCTAACGGTTAGGATTTAGGAATATTGGGGACCTCAAAACGGTAAATGAAGGGAAAAGAGGGTATGCTGATTCGCTTTCGTGTGCATCCCTTTCTTTTTCTTCTCTCATCCTTCTCGTTTACCATCTATTTCTTCATTTCTCCTCGTTCTCTGCTTTATTCTCTCACTTCTGAACAGGGTTTTGGGCGATTTCTAGAGAGAGAAAGCGAAAATGGCAGATAAGCCAAGCAGAGGATTGATTTTATACGGAGATGGACTCATGCCCTTTCTCTCTCCTTCTCATTCCCACATTCACTCTCTCGCTTCTCGTGCCTCCTGTGGCTTTCTCGCACTAAGAGATCCTCCACCAACAGGTATCTCTCTCTCTTATTGTCTTTCTATCTTTGCTGCTAACTGTAACTAGTTAGTGTTGTTGAGTTTTAAAATGAAGCTCATCCCAAAAAAGGTTTCGAAATGCATAAGTAGCTAATTATGGTTCAGAAGTACTTGATAGATTGTGGTTTGTTATGCTTGTATTTAAAAGAGGAAGTGAGAAGGTGGTTGTTTTATCAAAAGAAAAATGGGTCACTTGAGGTTCTTGCTTTTAGAAAGAAATAACATGTGATGAATGAATCCTTATAGTAAGATGATATATTATCATCAAAGAGCAGTATGGGGTTTCTAGTTGTCATTTTTTTTGGTTAATTCTTTGAAATTTTGGAATACATTGCATTTGATCCAAATTTATTCAGATCATATTGTTTCTAGATTTAGCTATGCTACATTCTATCAAAAAGTTAAATTTTGGTGGGAGTTGTCTTTTCATTCAATTCAGTGTTTTGTGGAAACAAAAGGGACAGAAAAACATAATCTGTGTTTCCTAGTTTCTCTATGGATGAGAGAGAGAGAGGGACAGAAAAACATAATCTGTGTTTCCTAGTTTCTCTATGAGAGAGAGAGAATTTAAGTGGAAACCCTTGTGGATCTCTAATTTTCAATTTCCATGCTCTGATTTCTATTTGTTGAACACACTCACACACATTCAGTGCAAATTTATTGATTTTCATCATACATAAAAATTGACTCACTTTCTTTATATTTTGGAGCCCATAGTTTTTATGCTCTTGGTTAAAGAAGCAAATGAGGAAAACTCCTTGCCACAAGGTCTGCTGTCTTAATTTTGCATTGATATCCGGCAATGGTTTACATTATTATTGGATTGTTGTGTTAATCTTGGCTTCCAAGATGGCTTTAATTTCAAGATGGAAATCTAATGGTGAAACCTTGTGGTAAAGATGTTGTCTTTGGGTTCAAATCTCAGTGAAGATGTTGAAACAAAATCTTATAAAGAAGGAAAAACATATAACCAGAAACTGATGGAATTTCTTGGCCATGCATCTGGTTGTGGGATCACAGTAATAATTGAATAAAGAAATAGGTGTTATCGTGATATAGTTCTTATTATCTCATGGAATACTTTGGGGGTTTAAGTGCTTGCAGAATCTTTAGCTTGTTTGTTTCTGGTAGTTTGTATACAATCCAAACAAAATTTAGAAATATGGGGACATCGAGATCGGAAAACTTCTTAATATTCATCCTATTTAATGTGATGGAATCTTTAGGGTTAAAGAGTAATGATATTTGAACAAGAAATGACAAGCTTCTAGGGCTTTTGCAAAGTTCTCTTGTATTTGAAATTAATTGGAACTACATTTTGTTTTTGCTATGCTAAATTTGGACCATTTCTTTACTTAAAGTTGAATTTCATCGTCGACGAAGTCATTGCTATGTATTATTGCAAAAAATGTTATTCTTACTGAACTTTCTTCAAAGAAAAAAATGTTACTCGTACTGAACTTCCTTTGGAATTAGACTCAGGAACTGTATCTTTTGAAATGTTTCGGTGTGTAAACATATGAACGTAAGTTTTGTTACTGACACTGGAATGCTTCCAAGCTCCTGTAATGACTTGTTCCGATATGCTCTGGTGGCATCACATTTATGCACAGTAATGGTACTTTATTTTTCATTTCAGAATTTCTCATCCATATTGCAGTGAGATACAGTATGCATTCCTATAAAGCAGGCTTATTGGATATAAACTGATCTGGATGCCAGTCTTCATTTTGTTTTGTGTTATTGGCATGAAACTGATGATTGCAGTGAGTAGGTTTACTATAAAAGTAATTGGTTGAGATGAAGGCTTAAAACTAGTTTTAAATGGATATGATTAATTTGTTTTTGATCATCAACGCTTCTGAGCCTTTTCCCGTAAGTTCTGTCATGAATTCTTTGTGTTCTAAGAGAGAGAAGAAGCACAAAGACTGTTTGCTTTACATGAAATGCGGAACCAGCTGCATAACGTGCAACTTTATTAGGATGATAGGTTTCATATGCGATTTTGTTGTGTTCATGAAGGCATGCAGAATGCTATCAAGGAATTTGGCCTATTTTATATGACGTAGATGACTTCTATTTCATGCTGCCATTGTTGATCCCTTTTCAACAGAGGACATATGCTGGATCATGTGTTCCTTCAAGTGCTTGCGATTATTCTGAATGTCTCATTGTATTATAGTGTGGCAAAAGATATACTGATAAAGTGGAATGAGGCATTGGTGGTAAAAACCATTTCAACTTCATGAAGCATATACCTTTGACTTGAAAGTTTAAGACTGGAAGCAAATTGGCAGAGCTCTTCCGATCTGCTTCTAATAGATGTCATCATTATCTACAGCTTTATTTATTTCTGTTTCATTGGAACTAAAACTGGTATAACTATAAATTTTGACTTCAGTTGGAAACATGTTTTCACTTCAGGCATTAGTCCCATCATATGGGTCAATGGGTAATTTATGTAATTGCACTTTATTGATTAGGTTATAGAAATTAGTAATTTCATCCCCACACCAAGCGATTTTGAGCAGTATTGTTATTGGTTTGCAGAAAGCGAGGATGATAGAGTAATTAGAGATCTAGCACAGCTGCTGGATGTGTATGACATCTATAATGTAAGGAAATGCTTGGGTAAAGGTTGGCATTTATGTAAATGAGATTCGTTTTCTTCATTAAATCCTGACTGTGTAATGCATAAATGTAAGTCTTAAATAGTGGTCTTTCTTGGATTTCCAGATAAAGGATGATGATTTTATAAATCCCAGTGTTGACTTTCTTAAACAGTTCCCTGTACCAACAATATCAGAAAGGTAAACTGCAGTGCCAAAGAATACTTCTCTATACTTCTTGAAATGCTAATAGAACTCTGTGATCTCACATCCTTTGGTAGGTTTATGGGTATGCGAGCTACCTTATTTACAAATTGTGCGACCACCCAATCTTTTGGAACAAAACTCGGATTCAATGTAAAAGATTTTGATGAGTTGATGAAGATTGGTTCAGACAATCTCCAATCTGAAAATATTCCTAGCTCTTTGTCTTCTGCAGCTAGATTGTTAATGTTGCTAGGGCTTGAAGATAGGAAGGTAGCAGAAACAAGTGAATATGATTTGGTGCTTTTGCATGTGAGAAGAGCTGGTACAGCAACCATCAAGAAGGAAAATCTCAATGACGAGCTTGAATGGCTCAATAAATTGGTTGGTGAGATAACGCATATTGCTGAACCTGGATCACCCATTGCTTCTCATTTACACTTGTCTCTTGTATTAAGTTATGGGTCTCCTCTCCTAAACGGAGATTCTAGTTCCTTGAATTCACTTGCCCTAAAGGAGATGCACCCCAATCTTTCATTGCTTCGTCCTTGCCAAAGTTACACCATGAAAGGAGGTCGCATATTAAATGGCATAAGGTATGAATCCTTTAGAGCTTAACCTTGGTTTTCTCATTATCATGACCTTTTTTTGGGTAAATATAACCTTTCTCTAAATAACAAAAAAGTTTTGTTTTGCCTTTGGTAATGCTATGGTCTTTCCAGGCATCATCATCCAATGCTAGTAGCGCAGTGGCAGGAGGCTGTTACCAGGAAGGATATGGCTCGTCTGTTCTCATTTCAAGAATTTAAGGAGGTACATGCTTCATTTAGTTCTAATTTGTATGCTATGGGGAGTTGTGATTATTTGGCTTCAAGAATCTTGTGGATATTGTAGTTAATGTTCCTGAGAAATGGAATGTGCCCTGTTTTTACTCTTACCGTGGATGGAATGGCTTGATTTCCCTTTCTACTGATTTTTTACAGAACCATTTCTCAGTCTTGTTTCTTCTTTGATAAATGATTGGACCCTGGCATGATCCCTCTGGTTCAAAGATGTTTTGTCCATGGCAACTGAAATTTGCACTAGTTTGTCATTTATTTATCTATTTATTTGAACGAAGGTTAACATTTTGTCTAGCTTGTTACTATGAGATTTTTTCTTTTGGACATGGAAATATTGCAAATGAGCTCAAGTTGATACAGTGAAAGTAGGCATATTTGATGACCCATACTCACAATTCTGGGGTTCATTTAGAAATAAAAGGCTTCAATTTGGGCATATGTTTTAGATTATTAAATATAATCATCATCAAAGCCTCTTCCCAACTAATTGGGGTCGGCTATACGAATTCTGGCCCGCCATTCTGCTCTAATTTTGAGTGTCAACTATCAAATATGATGAAACATAATTCTCACATTTCCTATAGAGTTTGTAGGAAATCTGTCTCAGATTATATTATTCAAAACTAAGATATATGAAATAGGGTAGGCCAAGTCATTTTGTTTTGGGAAATTCCCTCATATGAACCGGATGTCTTATAATTGGAACAAAACTGGAGTTAATGACCACCATAATTTATAGTGCATGTGACAAAGGTGCCAATAATTTTATCAAGATGCAGATTCTAGAAATGACCATTTGCCAAAGGTAAAAAATTCTGTACAACAAGGAGACATGGAGAAAACCTATAGTTGAAGAAAAACACCCTACTACAGCTGAAGATTTTCGCCTTAAATTTCCTAAATAAATAAACTCTGTCATGGCCTTATGTAGTCTCAAATGTCTAAGGCTTCTTTGAGTTCTACTGACATACTCCATTGCACGTTATTTTAGACTTCTAGTCTGCGAACCCTAGGCTTTACATCTTTAAAATTGTGACCTTTCCCATTGTGTATATGGTCGGGAACTCATGCATTTATATAGAGCTGTAGAGGAATTGAATCCCGAAAGAGATACCTCTACACTAGTTGGCACTTCTCTAGATGTTCCTAATCCATAGGAATCCTTAATCTCAGCTCTAGAGTCCTCACTAAAGTGGTTGAATAGGATAAGGCATTTGGAATGACTAAAAGCTTACCCTTCTAGAGCCTACTCTAATTGTGCCTATTCCAACAATACCTTTTTAAACCTTTTCTATGACCAAATTTACTTGAAAACCCTTGTATTAATGATAAAAAGTAGTATCACATTATTAAATTAATAAAATACTCCTGCATGATAAAATTTCGGATTGACCCCTAACAATTAATTTGCTGGATTCATCACATTGTCTTGCTTTCGATCATAAACCTTATCACGTTTTTTGTTCGTGTCCACATTTCGAAATCATGTTAGGGACCCATGCTAAACAAATTATTTTTAGACTTGCAGTAGGACACACTTAGCTCCAAGTGAATGACTAATTAGTGACATACTTGGAAAGCCATATGCCAAATTGGAAAAATTGTTTGTCTCAACAGAATCTCTGTAAAGTGTGACTCTTTTCATATTTATGTGTGAACATGTGTCGTTGGGATTCCTGTAGCGATTTTTTTTTTTGAAGAATTCCTGCCCCGATATTTTACTTTTGGTAACTCTTAATTGTCATGTTCGTGATGATCATGACTCTCTGCTTGACTCATAATCTGGATATTCATGTACGTATGTTTGCTTGTTATGTATGCATTCATGAATATATGTGCTTGCATGTGTGTGTGTATATATATATGGAAAACACTACAAAATTCCTATAGGTGAAGTTCTACAGTACTCACCTACAGCTTTATCACCATTCAAAGTTTATCACATGGTCACAGATGTTTGATAGTGTTTGAATTTTAATTTTTTTTTTTCAAATCATAATGATCTGAAATTTTGTAGATGTGTGCACCTTAGTGAGATGCACATGAATAAAATATAAAACAAGTAATTTGAATGATACAAATTATTCAAAATGCTCCTATAAAGTTTCAAGGGTAATTTCATTATTCAGCTTATGTCTATTATTTTTTTAATATTTTATTTGGGTGTGACTTAGTCATATGTGCACATGCCGCAAATTTTAGATAAATCTAATTAGTACAATAATTATAAAAATCCAAATACTACTTGACAACTGTGACCGTGTGAAGTACTGTAGAACTTCACCTATAGGCGTTTTGTAGATGCTTCCAATAAATATATATATATATATATATATATGAAAAAGCTAGGGTTAGCCCACTAGCTCATATGAACATATGAGCCCAACGGCCCAGATTGAATCTGGGCTGATCTGACGATCAAGGATGTCTGGTAGTGTTTGAATTTTATTTTATTTTCTACAAATCCAAATTACTTGAAATTTTGAGTGTGTGTTCTTCTCATCAAGGGCACCTAATAAAAAATAAAAAATAAAAATTTATTCCTAAAAAACAAAATGATCAAAATACCCCCCAAAACTTTTTGAGGGTATTTTGGTCAATTTATTTCATGTAAAATATTTTTTTGATATTTTTCGAAGATTCACCTATTTTTGATGAATACACGACTAAAATTTCAAGTAATTTGGATTTTACAGAAAATAAAATAAAATTCAAACACTACCGGACATCTGTGATGGTCAGATTGGTCTAAATTCAATCTGGGCCGTTGGGCTCATATGCTCATACGAGCTAGTGGGCTAAGCCCAGCTTTTTCCATATATATATCGATATGTGTATAGATAGAATGAGTGAGCATGAGTTTATCTGTTCCTGAAGTTCTTTTGTCTGAAAGTCCTAAGGGAATGACTCTCTCTCTCTCTCGACACATATTACATAATTAAACATGAGTTCTCCAAACCTAAATCCTTAGGTTATGAAACGTTTTGATGTTCGCGTGCGTGGTTGTAGAAAGGGGATGAATTTTCTTTATCAATTCTATCCTCTCATACCACGCCCCTCTTTTCTACAACCTCGATCATCATCTATTCATGCAGCAGGGACGTCCTTTTTCCCTCCCAATACCTTACATCTCTACAATTTGAGGTAGATTGATTACCGTATTTTCTTGGACTAATATGATTTGCAGAAACAATTTCCTTTTTTCTTTTCAAAATTGGGTAGCATTTAAGAAATTAGAAAAGGCTCCCATTTCAATGAGCAATGTCATCCAGTTTACTTTCATAAAGCGATTAAATTAGAGGCCAACCATATCCCTCCACAATAAGAGAAGGAAAAATTCTATATAAGGTTGACACGTTAAAATGTAGAATTAAGGTGCACCTCTAAAATCCTTTGAAAAATGTTGTTTTGATGTTGGAAAAACATCTAATTGATCATTTTGAAATCGAGATGTGTAGATATGGAAAAAAAAGTGAGTTTAAGTTCTAAAAATAGTCCATCTTATAACACATTATCTAGACCATCCTAAGAATTTTTGACACTAAAATTATATCTCATGACAAAGTTTGGAGGTGCACCTTAATTTGATTGTTTAAGGTTGCAACCTTATGGAAATCACACCCATAAAATAATAGGCCATCTTCAATAGAACATGTAAGTTACTAGTTTCTTAAACAATTCATTGGCAAAGGTGAGTAAAAAGTTTTGGTAATCTTATGTTAGAAATAATGAATTTCTGCATGTGATGGATTGTTTGAATTCTGACTTATCATGCATTCATGCAATCCAGATGGCCTCCTAATACACTGAATGGAAAGCTGAGAGTGGCTAAGAGCGAGGAAAATGCACAAATGCATGCACATCAAGTGTTAGATGTTCATTCTTGCATTAAAATTTTGGAAAGAAATTGGACGAGGCTAATAGGAACATGACCAACAACTTGTGGAGCTATCAGGAATCATGATGGACTTACATGTAACATTTTTGACTGGTGAAGTAATATGATAAAAATTAGCCAAAAAGAGGAACTAAAAAAAATTTGTACAAGTATACACCTAATATCTAATCGAGAAATTAGTATGTAATGATGGTGCTACATGTCTTGAGTGTCAAATATTAAATCAGTCGTGGTACCTCATTGCCCTCCCTAACACCCGTACTGTTTGTAAATTGCAGTAGCTAATGTAATGAATTTAGTACAATACATTTTACATCATACATT